GTGTGATGTGTGAAGTTGGGCTTGGTTACATTTAAGCGCACCTTTCTTTGCTGGGTTGGTTGCGTTTTGAGGTGTGTGGGGCTGTTTGTCCTTTGTAGAAAATGTACATTTTCAGGTGGACACGTGGCTTCAGCTTTGGTCGCCCCTGGCTGGCCAGCGTGTTGGCTGGCTGGGGGCGTTAGGCCACACGACGTAAAAATAATTTCGTGATTTAGACGACGTCACTAAATTCAGTTTTGAAAATAATGAAATTAACCGACGACCCAGGAATTATTTTAAATTGCGCAGACTATTCTGTGCAGCATTCTGCAAACATGAGACATGTGACTTAAAGCAAGTTACATTTTCCCTGGGAAAGGCCTGAAAAATGTAACTTACATTTTCCCCTATTTAGTTACATTTTCATATTGAAAAATGTAACTTAAAGAAGTTACATTTTTTGGGGGTTTGCCTAACAAATGTAACTTACATTTTGTTAGGTATATGTTAGGGGAAAATGTAAGTTACAATTTTTGCAGGTCCCCCCCCAGAATGGGTAGGGATTATATATATATATATATATTGTGTGCTGTCTCCCATCCTGACCGGTCCACTACAGTGGTTTCAGAATAGATGGCACCGGCACCCCAAGATGTTCTTTTTCAAAAATAGGTTCATATAAGCCACCAAGCTTGGGGTAACTTGCGCCATCTACCCTGACACCACAGCCATGGCTCTTCCCGTTCCCCTCCCCTCCTGTCTTTGCGCCCGAGGCCATCAGACCGTCCAAGACCAAGAGATCAAGATGATCGACGCGCGAGGGCAGATGCTTCTTGGACGACCGTCTGGCTTGTCAACACGACCGCCTTGAAGCGATGAACCACGGACCTCTTCCTTCCAGTCCTAATTGGTGCTTGCTTGGGGTTCTTTTTTTTTTAAGATTGGGAGTCGAAGACCTGGGGTTGGTTCCTTTTCTGGAGGGGAAACTAGAAGCGAGCTTTTGGAACATGAGACGTGGCTTGAACTATGGAAAGACCATGAAAAGAAACAGGGTCGGACATGGATGGACATGGACTGCCGGACACGAACTGGGATGTGAACCTTCGATCCCCAAGAGGACCTGAAAAAACCACCAAGAACGCTTCAAGCTTCAGGGCTCTTGACGTATATATTATGTTTTTTCTTATAGGTGTGTCCAGATATGCATGTGCCTACGTGATTCCATATGTCTTCTATTTGACGCATCAAAGGACATAGTGTTGTACTGAATAATCTCAGCAACTATGCACCATGCACATATACACTAGCATTGGTCAAAGAGGGATCCATGTAGTCTTTGCTATCCTGAATAGAAACACAACAACACGTGATTCTGCAAAGCAAAGCAACCCTAGGAATCCATGGAGAAACGCTTATTGAACCGAACCACCCCTTTCGATCCCTTTCGGTGTCCGTCTTGAAATTGGGACCTCGCTCGACCGTTAGGCTGTCGCAGTACCCGCGCTACTCCACCTTCCAAGAGGCTCCCTTTTGCGCGTCCATTCAAGCGGACCTGCAGAAGGCTGGCTTCCCAGCACCCTCGCAGATTCAGCAGTTTCTTGGATTTGGTCGAGTGCGAAACTCGAGGATTCTGCCTCGATGTGGCGGTCGGTTGGGTAGATGGTTGGTGAGCCAATGAAAAAGCGCTTGTTGGACCAGTGGTGCGGGGGTGGACCAGAGCTTAGCGGCAAAACCAAATGGCGAGGCCAAAACCTCCACAGCCGAAACTTCCCAGATCTGAACTTCCATCTACCTCTCTCACCAATTGTATATGTTGTTCACCCACCCCACCCAGCGGCAGATCCACTGTAAACTGTAAAGCAGAAGATGGATGAGTTGATAATGAGATGACTTGGGGGGATGCTTGGCGGTTTGAGCATGGTGAACTGATGGAGTCCTGCAATGGAAGAACTCTGGAGCATCATTTTGTGCCTAGGTTGAGCATGACCGCTAGTTGGTAAAACATGGGCCTTTGGCAAAAACGTGTAAAAGCGTGGTCTTGGCAAAGCTGCGTGGACCTACGGTTCCGCACACACGCGATCCAAAACCGTGGAGACCGGTGAGGACCGTTTTCTCGGCGCGAAACCGTGGTCAGATTCCATGTGCGGATGGCGAGAGACCTTGGGTCATCCCACCCCACGTCCCGCCTGAAACTCTGTAGCCTACCCAGGAAAAGTGGATATAGAACGCTTTGGAGCGTTTTTTTTGGGGGGGAGTGGGTTTCCCCTCTAAACCAGAACCGGTGAAATGAGTGGGACGTTTGATCAACGAGTCAAATCGGGAGATGACAGGAGTCGAGTCAAGACGCTGAGTTGGTATATCAACGGGGCGTTCTCCCAAAAAACACCCACAAGCAGAAAGAACTCAGATGAGTTGGTGTGAAGCAAAGTACTTTGAGTGTTTGTACATCCGCACACCCAACGTAGGATGATTTTTTTGGGTGGTGGTTTGACTCCCAACAGGTCCATGGCCGTCGTTCGGAAGGACACCGAAATCGAAGGAAACCGTCCACAGCGGGTGAACCACGGAGCCGAGGTACGCGTGGCCACTGGCCATGCAGGGCTACGACGTCATCGGGGTGGCAGCCACCGGAAGTGGGAAGACACTTGATTCTATTGATCCAAGTGGGATAGAATATGATAGAAGTATCCAAGTGGCTGGGTGACTCCTTTAGAAACCATTCCCGCCTCAGTTTTCGACCGGATTCACTGGCAAAAACCAGCCAAACCGGGGGTGATGAGTGGATTCTCCCACACGACCGGCACCCGCAAAAAAAAAGAAGGTCGCTCTCGGAGACTTAGGGAGTGGCAGGCAGAGTCGTGCTGCTGGTATTTGGATGTACCCAGACGCTCATGGGCCCTCATATGGAGGGGTCGGACCCTCATATGGAAGGGTCTGGGGTCTCAAATCTCTACGTTTTGAGGGACCAAGGGCTGTTTGGAGCGTCTGGGTATTTGGCATGTTTCTGGATTTTTGATCCTCCACTGCTCCACCGTCTTTTGCGGGAAGTTCATGGCACCCATTCGACCAGCGAAGCACCGAGTCGTCCAGCAGCCGAGCGGCTCGGCGAGACCAAGTTTCATGCTCAGGACCTTGGCCTTCCTGCTGCCAGCCTTCCATTTTCTCCTCCAACAGGGAATTCGTGCGGGTGGCTGGGCTAGAGATGAGCGTTTTCTGGTTCTTTTTGTTTTGAACAAGATGTGTTCGACCCCTCCCCAGTATACATATGTTGAATCAAGGAATCAAGCCTCTTTGGAACGTACAGGAAGAGGCACGTCTCGGCACTTCCTCCGAACGTTTGGTACCTCGAACTCGCCAGCGAGATTCATTGGTCCCTTCGGATGGCCCCGGGTCGCTCGGGTGAGAGCCGAGTATCCTAACCAGCTAGACTATAGCGGATTCTGTTGGACACAAGAGGGAGCCACCGTACCGCACCATGCATGTGTATTGAGCCAGCAGGGGCACGTCAGGAAGGCAGCTTGGCGTGTGTGGACAGAGACACTACTTATTGACGGGTGACCCAGTCTCAAGCCATCACGACCGTTTCTCTGAGCCAAAGAAGAGTTTGCCTTTGCGCTGCATGGCATCTTATGGAGGAAGCCGTGACCAGGATGAAGAATTTTAAGGAGCCCATAATAAATTCCGCCACCGGGACTCGAACCCGGGTCGCTTGGATGAGAGCCGAGTATCCTAACCAGCTAGACTATCGCGGATTCTGTTGGTCAGAAGAGGGAGCCACTCTACCACAGGATGCGTGTATATTGAGCCAGCACGCAGGCACGGCTGTGGTCTTCAAGCACTCGCCTTTTTGGCTCGTCAGGATGGCAGGGCACGTGCAACGCTTGACGTGTGTGGACAGAGACATTTCTTATTGATGGGTGACCCAATCTCAAGGCATCACTGCCAACAAGTGTATAGGGTTGCGTGCGTGTACATCAACGTGCATGTTGACGCATGCGCACATATCGTATAGTTTCCACGGGAACCGAGACTTTATGCGCGCGTATGCAGTCCTGACGCACGCAAACACGCAACAGAACTAAGTAGATAGATAGATGGACAGAGAGCAGCCCCCCCAAAATGATATATATATATTTATAAATATCAAAATGTACATGTTTACACATAAACATACATGTATATATATATATATATACACACACATACATATATATATATATATACACACACACACTCCAACGCACAACATTCGGAGATGCTCGAACACCAAACTCAACACATCCCACGCGCCTTGTTGGGGTGTGGTTGCCCACCGCTCCAGTGCTAGTTGCCCGCTTCCAAAAACGCCATGACTTTGTGGCATCCAGTCCGTGGTGGCTCGAGTCCACCCTCATGCGTTTGGTCTTCCCGGCCACTTGAGGTCCTTGTGCAGCCAAAGAAAAATACTCCTAAGCCCACACCCTTGCGACAGGCACCTGCTGTGTGTCACCAAGGACAGAAAACACCCAGACGCAGCAGCAGGCTTTCTCGTCCTCCAACCACATGAGCCACAACATCTGCGCGCGCAGCCCCAGCATCCAAGTTCCTGAGACGCATTGTAATCATCCAAGATGCGGCAGGCGTTTTTGCCATCTGCCCACAAGTCCTGTCATCATCCAAGACGCGGCGGGCGCACTTGCCATCTGCCCACAAGTCTGAATCTGAAGTGCACCTGCAGCGCAGGCAACTATGTGTCATCAAGGACAGAAAAACAAGTCTGAGCGCGCATGAGTCAGGAAGCTGAAGTAGCCAGATCGCGCCCTAGCTTCTTCGAATTCCACAGAATCTTGTAGATATCTCTGATGGCTGACTCTCGCTACAGTCTGCTCCCATGTGTTTGGTAGCAGATAATAAATTCCGCCACCGGGAGTGGGTCGGCCCCTTCGCTGGACCGCCCTTCCCGCCCGTCCAGACTGGACCGCCGGGCCCCAGCAGGCGGTCGCAGGGCAGGTGGTTGAAGCCTACGACGGCCGAAATGAATGACAGTCCCTCTTTGGGCTTGTAAATGAAAGGTTCTTAGATATAGCCCCCCAAATCAGATAGAAAGGGTAGTAAAAGTCGATCCCCACTTAAAACATGTCTTGGACAAACCGTGCCAGTACAGACTGTATCTCTTGGGAGAAAAACACATCAAAAGCCGCTGTGACGAACACCGAAGACGAGCGTGCCGAGGCGATCCCCACTTCCTGGTCATGGCCCCCACGCGTGAGCTGGCGGTGCAGATCGAGGAAGAAGCGGTGAAGTTCGGCAGGCGATGGCGGGACGGAGAAGCGGTGGAGGTTCACGGGACCGGGAGGTTCGATCCTTAGCTGGGAAAAGCTCTTGGGTGTGTGTGGGATGGTAGGGTTGCTTGGTGGATTCTTTCAAGATAAACATCACCGCCCCAGCAAGACAAGATCACACGAGATATAAGTGTCACGACATATTATATATATATAATATATTATATAAGTGTCACGACTCGTTAAAAAAAACCACGTTGCTTCTCGGTTCGACTCGGTTCCCACCGCGGGGGTCGAGAGGGTTTCCGGGAACCGCTGCGCGGAGCGCGGAGCGCGCAGGGCCAGCGGCATCAAGACTTGCTGCTGCTATGGCGGAGCCTCCAAGGGTCCGCAGGCGATGCACCTGCGCGATGGCGTTCATGGGGTGATTGGTGGCTTGATTGGTGGATTGGTGGAGTGGGGAAGGAGGTTGGGAGAGTGGATCCCAAGAGCCAAAAGTGAAGGGATGAAAAGATGCACTTTCCAAAGATGAAGGATGGGGTGGAGCCCCAAGATCCTAAGAGGATGGCGAATCGGCAATTGTTCGATTGAAGCCAAGTTGCAGAGGCAGGAACATGAACAGAACTTTGCCAAGCAACCTCCTGAGCTTCTGGTTTTCAAGGGGCTTGAAAGCATGAATGAATTTGGAATCTAGATGAGAGTGGATGGGGAAGATCTTGAATGTCTTCAATTTTTGTCTATTTCAGGCACATCTTAAACTAGAGATTGGTTATAACTTCGTCCATCAGTCTTTTTTTTTGCAGTTTCCATAGCTTTCACAGGATGTATTGGTTTGGGCCACTGGTTGGGCCACACCTGGACCGCATCACAAAGTTGCAACACACGAACTGCAGACATGACCTTCATCGGAACGGCAGAAGTTGTGTTCAAACAATACGTACGCCACCTGCTTTTGATTGAGTTCCCCTTTACTGGCCCGTTTGAAGTGGACCAACGAAGGATTCAGGTGCAGGGCATGCTCCCCCCCAAAGACTTTGACATGTGATGGTTCATGGCTATGGATATGACCTTAAGCCTTAGGAGGGAAATCAGAGACATCCTAGTCACAAGAAAACCCGGCCAACTGAGACTGTCAGCAGCTGTCCGTTCAGTCCACAAAAGCAGGTGATGGCGGATCATGACCGTCATTTTTTCATGCTTTGTCCAGTGAACTCTTCATCGGGGCAATGGGGGGTTGGCTGAGTTAAACAGTAAGCGAAGCTCTTGCAGCAAACGGCTCGCCGAGGAACTCCAGGAAGAATCAATGACTTCCTTGAGGGCAATCAGCCGCGACCCTGGTAGATGAAAGACGATGAAACGACCCAGAAAACAGCCATGTCTTCCCCTACATGAATTGCTTCAGGGGATGTGGCCAAGAGCCAAGACGCCGCCCGAAACAATGAGGTAACGTTTAAACTATGAGAGCACATATACTGGTCCCAGTGAAGGGGATCCACGGTATTTTCAAGGGTTCGCTTTCTATTTATGTTTTGGAGTCATTGTAGTAGTGACAGTTTTGTTGTTTAGAGAACACTTTGTTGGACTTCATGAAACGTTATTGCCACCTACAGTACGTTCAAGAGCCAGCGTTGTCTAGTTTGCTGGTTTCATTGCCTGATGTATGCAAGCAGATCTTCAACTTCCTAAAACTAAGAAAATCTTCAGCCAGAATTACCAGCCTCGTCTGTTTGCTGGGTTAAGTGGACATTTGTTGGGTAGGAAGCATGAAGAAGATCTTGGTGGATAGCCTCAAGCTCAGAGTGGGCTGTCACTCCCGAGTGCGCAAGAAGACTGAAAAGAAAGAGGAACAGCTACGACCTGGCCTAGCTCGTCTGAGCTCGGGTGCAAGGGTGCAGGACGTCAAAGCGAATCTAACCTGCGCGGTGAACCAAGAGCTTCGCCTCTTGCGTTCACTGGTTGAGCAATGTGGTGGAGGAAGCCGGCGCCTTGTGCCGCACCAGAAATGGGGCACTCCGGCTCTTGCTTCCCGCGTGAGGTGCGTCATAAGTGGAAGTGGAAAGATCGGCTACAACTCTGTGGCTCACTCCCATGGAACACTGGTGTCGAAGAGGGAATGATTCAGGCACGAGTCCTTCTATGAGTTGGTCCCAGCTTGATGGAAGCCATATCATACAGCTTGGTTGACAGTGACAGATGTGCTCTTCGATATGCTTGGCAAACTACGGTGACTGTGGGAAGTTGCCATTCCATCAGGTTGGACCATTTTCTCATTGTGAACAACACCCCAGATACAAAACCCTTTGGAATACTTTAATTTCTCCATCCCCACTTGAGAACAGTTTTCTACCTCCATTCACTCCTATTTTTTGCCGTTTTTTGATCAGCATCTTTTTAACACCTACAGGGAGCGTCTTCCACTCCCTTCCCAGTCAAGAAGCGCAACGACGTGGCCCAGAAACCTAAAGGGAAGACGTGGAGAGCGTCCTCCACAACGACCTGTCTGGGACTGGGCCAGATGAACCCACCCCTGTCTGCACTCAAAGAAAGGCTGACCTGGTGTTGTAGTCTAACATCCTATAGTAAACACTGGTGGTTCGATGAAACCCATCAAATCAATGATGGTTGGAATCAATGATGGTCTATCTTGACATGGAGTCCTTACGAATGAAACACGGCACGGCAAAACGGGGACCGAGCCGCTCGCCGCTCGAGACCTCGGATGGATCCATCCTGCAGGTAGAAGAGAACTCTAAGCAATAAAAGAACACCAAACTGGTTGCTTGAAACATGCTTGGATTTCTTTTAATACTTAACTTAACCAAACCTTAGCAGACAGGATCAGCTGGTCGGAACCTGTTGGGTCGGGTATATCATCCTGTCCATTGTTGGGTAAATCCGGCCAGCTTTTTCTTGTCTGGGTATACCCTTGCATCAGCTTAGGAAGGATAGAACTGAACCCTATGCAGTGGAATCGGAGGAGCGCTTCTTAGTATGTGTTGGGAACGCCCTGTGCAAGAGAGGGTTCACAATTGGGTTCTTTGGTTGGCATCCTTCCATCGCATGAGACTGTTAGGGCAATAGAGGGACAGATAAGAGTCCTCTCGAGCGGGACTCTTCAGATGGGATGGGGACGGCGAGTATTCTCATCAGTCAATTCCCATCATGTATTTGACAGACGATTTGGCCTCCACCTTGTACCATTCCATCTTCCCACTCCTGCCCGGTTCCCAGGGTCCGCCTCCAAGATGTGTGCAAGCTCGTGCTCGATGAGGCGCGAAATGGCACGTCACCCGCGCGCAATGGGTCGCCCGAGGGGATCGGGACGACCCTTGTCCGCCGGCGCCGAGGTGGTCCGCAAAAGGCCAAGGGGTGGTCGGTCCGTTTGAAGGTCCCGGGGGGTGATTTGGGTGCGAAGGAGGACAGAGGCTGCCTCTTCTGAGTCGTTGCATCCCAAGTCCACCTTCCCTTCTTTCGTGACCAAACCATCATTCAGGGTTCTCCCGCTGGGTCAGGCGGATCGGATGTTGGACATGGGTTTCGAGCCGCAGATCCGGAAGATCTTGGTGAAGTGGCTGGGCGGAAAGGTGAGTGGTGAGGGGGGAGGGAATGTGGGAAGGAGTGGAACATGCCCGAGGTAAAGTTCTTGGATGGGGTGGATCTGAAGGTAGTAAGCCGGCCTACAGGGGTCGCGAAATTCGAAACTCACCTGAATTGTCTCTTGCACATCGTAAAACACTCTCTAGTGGGTCCCATGCCAAGCCGAGCCCGCAAAGCGGAAACACACACGAAAACATCTGCCAGTCTGCCAGTGATCCCCCTCTGCAAAACAGCTCCATCAGTGGTGCTTCCTTCCTTCTTGTAAACCAAGCTTGCCACCAGCCGTCCCAGTCGTCCCCCCCAACCCCCCCCAACCTGTCCGCAGGTCCGCTCCGCACTTTTTCGAGGATCACGAATCCCAACCGCCACACGATGTTCTTCACCGCCACGTGGCCCACGAGCATCCGGCGCTTGGCCTCCGAGTTCCTGCGGAATCCGGCCGCTTGGGTGCGACGGTTTGGGGAGGGGAGGTTGGCGTGGGGGGAGGACGACTAAGGTGGGCGAGAAGTGGGCCAGGGTGAGTCTTGTTCTACTGCAATTAGGTGTCTTGAGGTGGACGATGTGAGGAAATGGCTTCTTGGGGTGGGTGATCGCGAGGATCACTGCTTCTTTGCAGATTGACAGGAGCAGCCTTTTCAAACGGGGCAACGTCCCAAATAGTATAATGGGTCATTACAGTCATTACAGTATGATTTTCATTCATTCTTTCTTTCTTTCTTTCTTTGCATACATTAGCTTGGGATGAGTCCATCCATGTTAGGGTTCAAATGAGGGGTTGATTTGTCTGGAGAATGCTTACGTTGAAGGATCACCCTCCTAAGATTGACCCAAATCGTCATTTGTCCCCCTGGCGTCAGCGAAATTTCGATTCAGCCGCGTCGCTGCGCTCAGATCCAGATTCAGATTGGCAACCGTGATGAGCTGAAGGGCAACCAGGACTCGCCGTTGAATCCAAAATTCCGTTGAATCCACAAAGGCGAGGCCAGAAGGTCCAGTGCAATGTGAGAACAAACGAAACAAATTGGGATCCCCATCCAACCCTGCACCCACACGTGGACGGGTGCGTTTTTGGACCGGCGAAACAGTCGTTGAAGGAGCCGTGAAACTCCGAATTGCTTTGGCGGGTGCCAGTAGATCTTGGGTGTTCCAAGGTGCCAGGATCCATTTGACATGGTCCATTTACAAAGATGGGAGATGCGGCTGAGGCGTCTGGGACGTCTCTCCTGAAATCAGGGTTTTTCAGGCTCCCGGTTTTGTGGGGCACAAGCTGGAGCCAGTTCCCTTCTATTTTCTTGTACACGGCATATACCAGGACCTGGTTTATGGACACCCCTGAAGCTGATTCCTGGGGCTCTTGACCTCTCTTTTGCGGCCATACAATTTGTATGGCCGCCGACGGGGACGGGCCGCGCCGGGTGAGGATATCGTACAGATTATCTCTCCTTGCACCTTCGGCAACAAGAACCAGGTCTTGCTGCAGGTCCTGAGCCAATCAGGCCAAGCCAAATCGACGGCTTCGGCTTCTTTCTTCCGCTGAGTTCGGGGAAAAGAATCGGCTAGGATAGGAGGGTCGGGTCATGTGACTTTGGTGAGTGTCGTGTGGGGAGCAGGCATCACGTATAGGAGCTCTGTTTGGGCCAAGGCAGGGGCTGTGGAGAGGGTGATCATTCTCACTTAGCACCACCCAAAGGGTGGTTTATAGACCCACCTATCTGGATTTTTTTTGGTTGATACGCAACAGCGGAGTTGGGAGCTCTATCACCTGAGCTATACCGTACGGGCCCCAAGATTCAGAACCGTCGCTCCGGCTGGGCAGTTTTTGTGCTGCTGCTTCTTGGGGGCTTTTGTAGATCCAAGGCGGAGTTCCGGCACAACACCTGGGCACTAAGGTGTCTTCTAATACTTCTTACTGTGGCACCACAAACAGGAAGAAGATGAGCCAGGAACAAAGGACACCAAGTGAGCTCAGGTCGCCAGGGCAGCGCCACAAAATGCATGGCTTCGACCGCCAAACCCCGGGCTGGCACGGCGGGATCGACCGGACGGGCACGGCGGCACGGCGGAGGCGTGGGCGACCGGAACAACAGCGCGGCCAAAGCCATCATCTTTTGCTCCACAAAGAGGATGTGCCACGGATGGGTTGAGGGGGACAGGAGTGGGGGGCCAGGAGGCTGGGGGTTTCGGTTGGCGTTCACCTTTTTTCGTGTGAGGATCATCCGTGAAGGGGCCTTTGACTTGCTGGGTTTCTCCACACATCCAAGGGGCCTTTCTTTTTTGCTCATGCTCGGGGTGAGTGTCCCAAGTCCTAAGGACTTGGTGATTTCGTTGGACGAAAGAAGGACAACCTGGGAGATCCTGCAAGCTACATCGCAAGTCCTTCTGATTCAACACGGCGTTCACCTCCATTCCCCCACCGTTGTCCGTGCAGTGGTCAGGTGCGACCAACTGCAGAGGGATCTGCAGCGCGCCGGCGTGCCGTGCGCGGCCATCCATGGAGACAAAGGGCAACGGGAGCGTGAACACGTGGGGGGTCCCAAAGAGGTGTGATGGCTGCGGGGGACAGGTTAGCGGGTGAAAAAGGATCCAAATCTCCCTCCAAAAGTCTGGGCAAGAAGTGGGTCAGAGCATGAGTTTGAGTGCCAGTCTGAGACCATCCCTTCTTGACCATGCTATTTTGGGTCCCCGCTTCTGGATGCTTGGGGGTCAGTGCGGCCCAACCTGTCAGCCTGCGGAGGGGGGGTTTGTTCTGTCTGAGCACCTCCCGGACTAACACCTTTGCCATCGGTTTTCGTGATGATGGGGGTTCATAAGGAAGGGCAGCTAGCCTTGGAACAATCTGAGTCGCACGAAGGATGACTTTTCTCAGATGGTGGGTCGAAGGAAGGGCCAGGGTGAAGCCAGTGGAGAGCGTGATCCTGAATCTGGACAAATCACCTGCTTCAAACTACCTGATCAACGGCATGAAGGGGACTGCAGGTGAACTAGTTACGACCAAGCAGCACCACGGAGTTCGGGTGGTTGATGGACTGCCCTGACTATGCCCTACAAGTCCCAGAGCCAAGTTAAACCTGGTCCTTGACCTCATTGAGTACTGGTTTTGTATGACCGGATCCAGTCAAATGAGGTCCTTGACCTGTAGGGATGTATATTCCATTCCATAACCACCCCTTCCGTGCTGCTACCAATAGAGGGTGCCACCCCATGGACCGATTCGTTTGATGCAGCTGACCGGACTGGGATCACCGTGTCACCATCTTTGACGCCTTCATCCGCGAACTCCGGACCTGCCTTAGCCTTAGACCCCGGCCTCGGGTGGCGCCCGCGCCCGGAGGCCCTGGGGGAGTTGAAGAGCGGCGCCATGAAGCTCATCGTGGCCACCGACGTGGCGGCCCGAGGCATCGACGTGAAAGGCGCCGGGGCCCGGGAGGTTCGGAGCCCGGAGGGGAAGGGGGGGCGGGATGGGAGGAAAAGGGAGAAAAGAGCAAGTGGCTGGTGGGTTATTCATCAAGAATCATCAGGATTCTACATGATACAAAGAGTCCTTCTCTTTTAGGGATTCTAGCTAATCTTTGGATGGCTAAAGCACCAATGGGACCAGACTAGAGGAGGCTTGGAGTTCTGCCTAAATGGAGATTGCGCACTGCGAAAAAGGAGGTGAATACATTGCAGCCAAGACACCAATGCTAGAGCTGTTGACTGCGAATGGCCCTTGGCTGATATGAGGTACAGTCAGTTACAGGAGACTACCCGAGTAGAAAGATGGACTTGCTCGCACCAATGAAAAAACAGCAAAATACCAACCAAATCCTGGTGTCCTTTGATTTCGTAATACATTTTGACCGTGGCTGAGATGGTGGGGTTGGATTGGCAGATCCTTTCGTTCCTTCTGCTTCCTTATGGAGCATCCAAATATAGACTGGACACCTCTGAAAGACAATACACATCATGCTTGTCCCGGCTTGCGTCTCTTTGCAGGTGGCTTTGTGGAAGATTCATCCTTCAATGGTAGGACGTGTGGCTTTTCTATTTTTTTCAACGTGGTACGGTGTATGAGCACTCGCCTTGATCCCTTTCTGAGTCATTCTTTGGGTGGAGTGTTCTTGAGCAGCTTGCTCAGGCAGTAGAAGCTGGTTTTCCTTCAACTTGAAGCGACATCAGGTTTGGACTTTGATCAAACCTAGCGACAAGTCGAAGTTGAACAGGCAGAACCTTTGAACAAGTCGACTCACGGAGGGTGGGTTTCTTGGCCCCCCCATAGCCACGCTCCCCAATGTCCCTGGGGGATTGGGCCATCCCCTGCGCCGCCCGACCGACGTCGAGGCGTGACTCTGGTGGTGAACTATGACGCTCCAGGCAATACCGAGGACGCCCGCCCTCTTCATGCAGCGTGGGAGAACACGGCGTGGGGCGGAGAAGCAGACGTTTCACACCACGAAAGCCTGGTGTTTCCAGGACTGCAGTTTTCAGGACTGGGCTGTGTAGAACCACAGATTTTGGAGGTTCTGAACAATGAAACACACACTCGTCCCGCGGTTCAACCAAGCTCGTTCGGCCGAACCGTGCGCCGCGAGGACTATGTGCATCGAATTGGCCGAACAGGCCGTGCGGGCCAGAAAGGCGGGGAGCCCGCGTGAACCGGGGACCCACCGACGGACATGGAGGTGGAAGGGGCCCATAGATGGGGGGTTTTTCAGGTGCCCGATGCCTGTTTCGAGCCAAGAATCCGTTTCGTCTCTGTTCTCCCTCCCTCCCTCCCTCCCTCCCTGCCCTTTTTTTCCTTTTACTTTTTGGCACCAAAGTGCCTCGCCACGGTTGTCCTCGCCGACCGCCCACCGCGCCAGGCTATGCCGTGTCGTTGATCACGGACAAAGATGCTCACGCCTTGCGGGGCATCATCGAGGTGATGAGACGAACGAATCAGGCTTGAGTGTCGAGTCCCGTCCGACACCGTTGGATCGATCGATCGAAGCGAGACACGGTGTTGACACGGGGTGTGGATAGAGGGGTTGGAGGATCGAAGCGTTTGGGGTTTCGGTGCATACTTTGGGGTTGGGAGGATCGAGGATGGTGGAGGCCGTGTTTTGGTGCACATGGAAGATGGAAGATGGTTCTCCTCAACCTTGAGGGGGGTTTTGATTTTTGCTTGCGCCATCAGCTCTGACCATGCTTGGAGGCGAAAGTTTTTTGAGATGAAGAGGAGTGCATTTGAGTGATTGACCAAATCTCTGGCTAGCGGATGGAGGGACCGAAGGATGGTCGCTGGGTCGCCCCCCGGAACCTCCGAACGGACCTCCGCCCGGGCGGGACTGACATAAACCAGGGACCTCTTCTGTTCAATCCTCATCTTGGGAACAGGCGACCTCTTGTGCCTTGCTTACATAGGTGCTTCCACCCTATGTTTTCCGGCGTACTGAAAGGCCCAGCAATCGAAGACAAGCGCGTTTTGATGGATCCACAGATTGGATCCTGAGTTGGGCGCAAGATGGACGGAAGAGTTACGAGTCAAAAGACAGCCTGGAAGCATCTCGAAGCACGATTTTTTTTGATAAACCAATGTAAACCTTTGGTATAGAACGATATAAAACGGCATAAAACTCTTGCAATCGGGTTAACGCCCTTGTTAAAACCAGTGGTCCCAGTGGTTCGGGCGACCGTTTTCATCCATTTTGTCCTTTAAAGAAGTCCGACCAGTTCCAAATCGCCAGGAAGTCACACCAGAGGTGGAGGCACTCGGTGGCTGAGGGGCGGTGATTCTGTGGATGACTGTGGCTTTAGATGATTTGGGTATAAAACCATATAACCATATATTATATATATAACCATATATATAGATAAATAGACATACAGACAGGACAACAGTTGCTAAAACGCTTGGAAACATATGACTTACAACCCTTTCCCCTTAGAATCCTACAGAGGATCACAGCGGAATTTCGGCGGATAAATTTCCACCCCGAACTAAATTTGTAGTATCCGTATTTTAGTTTAGTTTGGGGCCGAAATTTGTCCGCCGGAATTCCATTCGGAAAGAGACGTCATGTCAATGAGAATCGTGAGGGAAGTTGTTAGCAAACTTTCTTCCTCCCGAAGTATATCATGATGTGCCAATACCAGCACATCCCAATTTGGACTTTCATTTCTTCTCGGGTGTGGGTTATTAGTTATTATTATAGTCAAGAGTCAAGATAGGTTAGCTGAGAGGTGCTTCTTGCATGAACGACTTTGTTATATACCAAACCCTCGGTTTTCTGAGACTTCTGTAAACTTCTTCCTCCAAACATCCAACATGAAGACTCCGATGATGGTGATGTCCTGGATCCACAACATGTCTCTATTAGACACGGATCCAATTCTCCTCCAATGGTGGCGGTCGTCCGTTTTGTTGGGTGCTGCAGTTTCGTGTATTGCAAGATCTGGCCTAGTTTGTTCGCTTGTTGCCGCCACGTTCCGACCGGAAACTGGATGCCAATATATGCCAATGGTAGTCAAGAACTGCACCAGCTGCATCCAGCTGCCAGGGTCGGTACGGGTCTTCTCTCATGGAGTGAAAAATGGCCTTCTCTCCAGTGGTCCTTCATGGATGGAGCAAGAAATTCCTTTCCTCTACCGAGTCTCCAATGAAATACCCTACAAGTAGGCCCTTCACTACTTGTGGATCTCCAGAAAGGACACCCCTTTGAAGGTCCAGGTAGGGGTTGAGTCTTTGAACATTTTGGCAAATGTTGAATCTTGAGACTTGATTTGGTGTCGACTCATCCAAAGGGTCATGGCCAAAGTTTAAATTTAACAATCTTCCTCAGCCTTCCCTTAATGGCAGTTGTAGAAGAATGATTGATAAGATCAACACCCAAGAACAATACATGATATAGGGGTTGACGTTGAGGCAACAAAGCAATTTCACTTGTTTCCGATTCTCACACCTATTGCGTTGCGTGATCAAGAGAAATACATCTATAGGACACCAGTACGAGGACTACTTGTTACAGGCCCAAGAAAGATTGTGGTCGTTGTTCCAGTTTGCCTTCAAAAGCCCTCCTTTGGGCCCGCGTAGACCCGAGCCCCCCCAAAATTCCAGGATGATACTTCCAATGATCTAGGATCTAAGTATATCTAAGAATCAGGAGATGAGGAGACCCGTTGGTGGAGACCCGTTGGTGGTAGATTTTGCGAAACGTTAATGTTTTGCCCATTCGCTTCATGGAGGGGTGCAGCATCGGAGGGGTGCTGGGTGTTCATTCTCTCACTTGAGGTCTCAGAAATGGGCCCGAACTCCACTCAAGTGGAACTCTTGGTTCAATGACACTCCTTCAATGACACCTTGAAGTGTCGACCTGGAACATCGGAGCTGGGGATGTGGGCATGGAGGAACGAGGGACACTCCTGGGTGAACGAGGTGCAGAGTTTCTGAGGTCCGCGACCATGCGGATATGAACCCAGGTTCAGACTTCACACCCCCAACAATTCCTCGCTCTTTGTAGATCTATGCCACCAAGTCCCAAGTCTCATACCCACTTCAGGCATCCACTTTTCTTTGTTTTCCATCTCTCCTAAACCACCACACCCCACTCTTCAGGCGATGGCCCGCTCGGCCGGGCCTGCGCCGCCCTCGGGCCGCGCACTCCGCGGGAAGGGCCGCTGAGTCGCCCGCGGCGCTCGCCGTGCGGAGCGCCCGCGCTCCGTGCGGGGCGCCGTGCGCGTCCGACGCTCGCCGTGCGGGGCCGAGGAGGGGAACGCGGTGGCGGGTCGTGGGGCTTGAAGTGACCAGACTAGGCTTTAGGGACCAAGACTGGGAAGAGTTTTAGGCCTAGAAGTTCAGAAGAGGGAGGCTCAGGGTGCAGGGTTGAGGAAGGAAGGCCTATTGAATGACGCTGCACCTTTTTGGGACATCCGTTTGCGGCCCCAATCCCTGCGACCGCAGCAACCAGCACTGGTGGATGCGTGCAGCCTCGCCGGGCCTGGTTCGCCGGGCCGGCGAGCTCTGAGGCGCGAGAGACGCGCTCCCAGAGCAGGTTAAGCTCCACATGTTGGAGACGAACTTGTAGCTTCAAGTGGATTTGGGTCAAAAGCGTATACTGTATTTAGTTAGAAACTAAGGGCATGTTGGACGGCAGCCTGCTCAGCTGGGTCCGTCGAATCCGTCGTGGTTTTGGGTCATCAGGGTGGACTCGACGTCACTCTCACTGGAAGGTCTGAGGGTTTTTCACATTCTTTTGACCCATATCCAGGTCCAATCCGATGGAGTGGAGCTTAGTGGAAAACCCGCAGCGCAGCGCTCCAGGCTGAGCGGGCGCGAAAAGGAACACGGCCAGCCTGGCAGAAGATGCACAGAAGTGCGCTGCATGTGAGGTGTTTCTGAAGATAGGGGACCCCTAGCCCCCTAGGTTCTAGCATTCTCGGCAGGGAAGGGGTCCCCTATTTTGGGGGAAACACCTCAGAGCACCATTCTGTGCACTTTTCTGCCCAGGTCCAAGAGGTTTACGACCTGGAGGTTCACTTTTCATGGTCTGCCACCACATGGCCAGCGGCCTGATGGCCGGAGGGGAGCCTTCTTCCGAACTTCCTTGATTTCGTGGAGCCTTCCGCTCGCGTGCTTGGATTGAGCTCCCCAAATCCTCCACTGTTTTCAAGTGATGATTAGCCGAGCCTTAGGGAACGTTCTTTAGTCCCTCCACTAAATAGATAAAGATCGTGGACACGCGTTTAGCACCCCCCCGCGAGTTCAGAGGTTCTACAGCTGCTGGCTTCGGCAAGCCGCCAGCATGTTGGAGTCGGTATTTTTCAGCCCGCGGTCCTATGACCGGCGGTCTATGCGGTGGAGACCGCGAGTCAAGCTCTTGTCGCTAAGGCTGCCGGACGATGAGGAGCCTCAGCCGGCGGTTGGGTGGGGGTTGGCCCAGGAAGGTGGCGGAAAGCACTTCGCTTTCGACCAATCTCAACAACTTGACTCATCCAGTTTTCTGGGGCCCCCGAACTTTGTACATCCTCAAGTCGGGTGGAAGCCGAAGCTTGGACAGGTATTTCACCAGCTGCGGCAGGTGTCTGCTGCAGCTCCCAGACCGAACAGCGACACCCGAAGAGACGGCTCCCAGACCGAACAGCCGTGGGGCTTGGAAGGTGGTTTAGCTCCTTCTCGACCAGTCAGCCGCTCGCTGAGAGCTTCCCAACGGCAGACCGCGCGATGTTTTTCGCGCGATGTTTTTCGCGCGATGTTTTTGGGCGTTTACAGTAACGGTGGCCATTGTTTCATATTGGTTGCAATCTCACAAGAGGATCATTTCTTCATTTGGTGGAGGGAAGTTTTCTTAGATATTCTTAGTACAGTGTTGTGTGGGAAGTCCATTTTGGGTGATCATCATCTGCCGAAGTTCATGATGCTTGCGGGCTTCAAAGGTCCTTTTTGCTCTCATCTACCGATCGCAGGTGATTTGAACGCAAGCATACGCAAGATCGTTCGCAGTGGTGCTTGAAGTGGGGTAGAGTTGCCTTTCAACCAGCGTTTCCCAGCTTTTTTTCCCTTTCTTTTTGGACATGGCCCTTTCCTGTTCCACGCAGCCTGGAAAGCTCCGCTGGACAGCTCCGCCGGTCCGGCGCGGCCAGGGGGAAGGATTAAGGATTTGATTTTTCAGTGTCTGTTCCACAAAGCTTTGCGGCTAAAAAGACGCTACTAGTAGCTCCTGGCATTACTACTAGTAACAAGACGCTACGTTCGGAACAAAGGGCATCGCTACTAGCAGCAAGGATACTATATATATATATAGATATATTCCCATCCCTATCATTCCTTCTCCACGTGGTCACCTTCCTCGCTCCGCCAGAACTGCTAATGCAAGCGCTTTGCTGGTACAGCGGCAGGCAGGTCTTGTGGTCTTGCGTAGAACTACAAGACTCTGATCAATGTCGAAGCTGCTTGCAGAATCTTGCAGAATGATTTGTGCTTTCATTCCGTAGGGATCCAAGTACCTTCTCAGAAGGTACTTGGACCCTCCCAACCTATATACATAACAGTAACAGTGTCTCCAATCACAATCACCTTCTGAGAAGGTACTTGGATCACTGATAGAATAGTTGCTTGGTGAGTTCATCGTTCTCTTGGATTTGTTTGCCTGTTTGTCGGGCCTTTCTTCGCGCAAAGTTGCACTCGACTCTTTGTAACATGGTTTTCCAACCGGGGGTGCCTAGCTTGTCCCTACAGAGTGTTTGTCCATCACAGACAGAATGCTGCAGGTCGGTTAAGCCCGCTTTGATGCTGAGAGGCTGAGAGGCGTCTTTTCCAAGAAGGCAAAGACAAAGCATGGAACGATTGACCAGTGAGACAGGATTGGTTTACAGGTTCCAAGCCCAAAGAGATTTTCCCAGCATTTCTATTACTCTCAAGCTGCACGGCCATGCTGGGGTTCTTCCCACAGAATCTGCTTGAAGGGTGCAGTCATAGGATTCTGGTACCGAGATCAGATCCCCTGGGGTCTCCATGTAATTGGAGCTATCGCTGGCACTTTGTATCACATTGAGTCTGTCCTATTACCTGTAACAGGCAGTCAGTAAACGATTATCACTATTTTAGAGAAAGGCCTTTACTAAACATGATCATCCACTGTTACTGGTAACAGGATACACTTCTAGGCAGGCATCAACATGGAAAGGCACAGGAGCCCATCCCATCCCCGTCGAGAACACTGCCACTTATTCCCTGATGGGATCTCAACACGGGGTCACAAAGAGCCTCACGTGCGGGCAGGAACCTTACACCACTTACACACCAAGATGTTTGGGCTTTAAGTTCGTTACCAACCTTGAGGGATTGGAAAAAACCGAGTCCGCCACAGAAAACGCAAAAGGCCCGAGCAAAAATACCAAGTCGTTCTCTTTCTGACAAAAAACCCATCACCAGCGAATCGCCTCGGGCCCAACGAGTCGCATATATATAAAGCTCTCATATATAAAGCAAAGAGCCTGGCAAAGCACAACCTCCGAAATCCGGGAGAGCCAAGGACATGGGGATCCGGGGCCTGGTCACGGACATGGGCGGACACGGGTGGGGTGTCTAATCAATGGCCCTTATTACAGATTAAGGAGTCCATAAGGGGCCTGGTACATGCTTTGCAACTTCAAACATCTTCAATCTTTTTTCCTCCAAGACTTGCAGCACTCCATGGATCTAACAAACGAGTTGCTTTTTCGCCAGCGAGTGACACGGAAGCGACGGGCGCGACGAAGAAACAGCGCACAGATCCGTTGAAAGTCACTTCCTTGTCACTCTGCTGGCTTTCCTGGTTCCCGCTTGCCACTTGGTCGACTGTGGAACCTGTGCCAGCTGGGGCTGAGAATCTTTGGGCACGCGCGATACCACGCATCCTGCGGATCGCGTGCGTGCGTGTGTTGTTAGGCGCCCAGACTCTCTGGGTACACTCGAGATGAGCTGCGAATCGCAGAGTTAGAAAGCCATGGGCAGCTCAGCCAGGCAGAACCAGCAGCACCTTCACAGCCGTTCGAACGGACCAGCACCACCTACACTTGCCGGAGGGTCAGACTGATGATTTCTTGAAGGTGAGAAGACTGGCAGGGCAGCTCGTAAGTCGAACGGGAGCTCAGTCCTCAAAGGCAGGGACCGTGTCCAGGTGCTTCGCAGAGGCCGAACTCGCCGAGTTCGGGTGGTGAAAGGTCGGTGACCCAACCACCTTCTACCAGCCCCTCCTCCACATATGTTTCAGATCGCTCGCCATGGTCACAACCGCCTTCGTCTTCCTTTCATTCACCGAATTTTGGGTTCCTGCTTCGTTGGCCTGGCTGAAAAACCACGGTGATCCACCGCGTTTGATCCCCGGTGTTCACCGTGTTTCGTTTGATGCGGCATCACCGGGTCCGGTCCGATGGTTTTTTGTTCAATCTGTTGAGTCCGACACGTTGTTCTGCAAGTCCGGAGCCGGCTCTTCCTTCATGGTCTCCGTATAGCTCCTACACTGTCATACGGAGGTCTCCCTCCCAAGGCTCTTCTTCTCGTACGTAGGTGATGGAGACTTGTTGTTTTTTGACGGCATAGCGGCATACCTGGCTGAAGTCCAACCCGTAAGAAACACAGACAGGTTTTGTGGCGTTTGGATTCGAAGAGACATGGGCGATTTCTTGCCTTCAAGATGTTGCGGGTCCAACCATCAGCCATGATCTCCTTTGATTTCAACAAGGGTTTTCGGGGGTATCATGGAGCAATTCTGTCACACACGGCCAGAATTATGGCTGTTGTCTTTCCAGAGCGAGGATGGACGTCAGGAACACTTGTCTTTTGTCTTTTAACCCATGGCTCCGAATCTCATGGCTCTACGAACAGGACCTTTTCACCCTCTGACTTTCGAAGGTGCCAAGCCTCCAACTCAACACCTGGCTGTTCCGGGGCACCTGGATGTTCCGGAGCGGACTGTGGACGGCAGCGAAGGAGAACTCAACAAAAAGGCTCGCGCGGTTCCGTGCGCCCGTTGGAGTCCGCTGGATGAGGCAGTTCGGATTGGATGTGCTTCCACTTTTGCCAAGAGTCCGCTAGTGCCATGAATTGGTACCCTCTGACGAACACATCACATGGAAGTGGAACATGGTCCCTTGGAAGACTACCTTCCTCTACCAACAAGGGGTTTTCCACTTCCATGTTAGTGAGTCAGAGTGTAGATCTGTTTAAAGACGGGAACTTCATGGAACTTCCCTTAATGTAGAATGTTGACAAAACCTCTTCCAGCCTGCGGGGCTTGAAATATAATCAAGATTCTATTCTATATTAAGGAATCATAGAAGTGGATGGCACCACCTGTTTGGCATTCGGACAAGGGTCATCCAGGGGCCATGCCATCCACTTCCATAATGATTCCAGGGAGTGTACATGACCTGGAACCACGGTCCCGGTAAACATCAGTTGATGTGAGATAGTAATGTAATGCATATAACGATATATACAGTATATAGATGTTATCGGCTATCGGCGAGTTATTGCTAAAGGTTCGAAGTCCCATCCTCCTCCACTGTTACAGGTCACGAGAATACCTCTCACTCGGGGCAGTCGAAGGTCACTGAAGGTCACCGGCTTCGAAATCCACAGGATGATGGATCCAACCGAAAGGGTACTGTAGGTTTGATGAAGGACCGAGAATTTACAGCTGATTGAGAGTCAGATTTGAATTTAATCTCACCAAACCCTTAGAACCTGGAATCTTCAACCTTGAATTCAAGAAGAAGGAGAAGAAGAAGAAGTCAGATTGATCCAACCCTCAACTGGCTGAGGCGGCGCGGGCTGTTTGCCCAGCACGGCTCGTGCGCCATGCGCGGTATGCCAGCGAGGCAGGGTGGGGTCTTCTGAAGGTCAGTAGACCTTGCAGTTGCAGGATCCAATGAAAGTCTGGCAGTTGTCACGGATCAACCAACAATTCAAATGCGTATTACAGCTTTTGTAGTCGTGGGTTGGGGTGAACACCTGATAACACTAGGTCTATTTAGATCAAGTTTGGCAGATCGATGGATCAACCCTTTCCAATGGAACCCTTGCAAGGAGTCTTTGCTACAGGAGTCCAGTGGTTCTGCCAGGGGCAGCCCTGGTGTCATGTGCCTGGAGTTTAAACTTAGTGAATCTTCACCACCCATCAGGATCCTCGGGTCTGCAGAGGGTCCACGGCGGAGGCGGATTTGAGTCTCAAGTTTGTAATGATAGGCGAGTGAGATAGGCGAGATGAAGATGAAGTAGGCCTATGGAACCTATTGCTCATTGCAAGCAAAGGCCGTGAAGGGCCGTGAAGGTCAAGAAGGTCTTAGGTGTCACTGGCATTACGGATGAAGGGCATGGTGATGTGCGTGTGGCTCATACGACCCAAGCCAAGAACCTGCAGGTTCTATTGTTATCTATCTATATATAGTTTGTTTATGTTTGTCTTGCAGCTTCAAAATGGTGGCATGGCACCCCCGGTTTTTGAGCTCAAAGCCATGTGTGACAGAGACCCAGTCAGCCCGTCAGATCCTTTGATCTCCAGGACACACGGCCGCGCACGCGAGCCCAGCGAGCTCGAGCCGAGCCAGAGCGAGCAGAGGTCGGTCAGGCGACGGGTGAACGGGCGGAAATCGATAGACATGGGCAAGAGGTCTTGGGGTACAAACGATAGCGTTCTCATGAGCTTGGCTTATTGTATTCTTAGTATATTAATGTTGTGAGTTTGAGGTAGGCAACAAAAATATGTTTTTGATTTTTTTTCTTTTATGATTTTGTTATGTTTTTTTTTTTAAACGTTTTCCTTATGATTTGGTTACGATTGACTTTATGCAATTTTATGATTTTTTGGTGGGTTCGTTTTTTGGATATGATTTGCTTATGGTTTCGTTATGATCGTTGAGGTCTGCAATTTCACTTATACAGAGCCTTTTGGGTTGCAAAGCATGGTTGTTGAGATGTGTGTTCAGCCAAGTTTGTGTATTTTCACAAGATTTACTCTGCTACACAGAAAATACATTTTTCAGAAAATCACATGGACAATTGCAAAACAGATCTTTGTTGTCCTGCAAGTCTCTTGGTCCGTTTTCTGGTTGGGTTTAAATGCAACTAAAAACTACGCAGGAATAGAATAGTCTCTATTGTATGATGGGTTTTGAGAACTAACTAGTGATTAGTGTTTTGAAAGGAACCACTTCACTAATGAAGGCAGAGAGGAGTTGGCCTTCATACATGAGTTCCCAAACCTCATGCAAACTGACACCAAAGCTGGAAGCGATCGAAAGGACTTGAAGTGGCAGGCTTGGCTGCAGCTATATATGCAATTTTGTGATGCCTGCAAAGACCAAAAACACATACCATAATTTTTTTTGGTGGCATTTTAAAACCATAAGAAAATCATATATAACCATTTTCATATCAAATTCAAGGGCTCCTTAACACGCATAAAAAAACAAAAAAACACACACATAACCCACAGTGTATCAAAATCATAACAAAATCATAAAAGAAAAGAAAAAAACATTGGCACCAACCTAAAACTCACAATATTAATGATCAACAAAGGTGGGTGCGCTGAAGTGACTTGGCACATCTTGGGTACTGGGTCTCGGTGACGGGGGATTTCAGTCAAAACTGAACAATGGCCTTCTTTCAAGAGGGCGGAAAGAGATCAAGTGAACAATTTTTGTGCATGTAGTACGTCTTTTTTTTGCAACATCGTTTTGATCTGTTGTCACTGTCAACCGCAGCCCATTGGCAACCGATCATACCCATACCCACGTGAAGAGAGGCTTGATTGAGTGCCAGGCAGTGGGTCCCAAGACGCCTCCGTTTTTCCATTTGTTTTATGCACAAATTTTCACTTTCACGGTTATGTCTTAGTTCATCCCTCCAATCGAGGAGTCCTGCATTACATTCTAGATTGCCTCAGATGTGCCTAGTCTTCCAGGAAATCCATTCTCCAAGAGCGGTTTGTCTTCCCCAACACCACCATACGCAGAGTAAAAGACTTGGGATTGGACGATAATCTAAAGGGATCATCAGTGGGCGTCATGCACCTCGCGATCCAGGTTACTTCTGACCCATCGTGTGCAAAAACAACACCCACCGGCCACCGACCTGACACGAGGACATTTCGCCACCCGACGAGGGCCCCCCAAACGTCCAAGACCGCAGGCGCGTCTCTGGGACTTGATGGAGAAGAATGCGCAGATCTTTCATCCCAAGATGCTGCCGAAGATCCTGGTGCGGGAGCTCAAACAGGTTTTCGCTGCTGGTTCCGGTTCTCGCTGAGAAATAGATCGACACGGTGTCCAGCCGACGCGATTGGAGGATCCTGACGCGGTCGGACGGTTCCTTTTGTTGGAACCCGGTGGTTGCAGGGAGCAGTCGCTGAGAGGTTGTTTCTGGTGCCCCCCCCTTTCCCCGTAGTTTGGGTCAAAACCAATGCCCACCAGAGCAAAAGTCTCCTTGGTAGAACTATTCCGTTCATTGTGGCGGTGACAGCATCCGCACTCATGCCGTCAACCAGAACACACAATTGCCAGTACGTAAGTAGTTCTTTTCACGTTCTCACCCATCCCACTAGGGGAGCTTTTGCTTTGTACTGATACCCATCCGCTCACGCTGTGGGTCATTTGAAGCTTGCGCTTCGGTTCACCACCCGGTGTCACTGCGAGTTTCGCACCGGTGTTGAAACGCCCCGAGCTAGCTGGCCTGTCCACCCGGGGTGAGACATACCACGCCCTGATTGTCCCGATTGAATCGCTGGGGCCTGGGGATGGAAAACATCATCTTTAAGGGAAGGCGAAAGAAATCACCACGGTCAAGCGAGGTGATCGTTGATGAAACACATCGTTCTTTCGTGCGTTAAACGCCTTTGAGTTGGGGTGAACAGGATGAACAGGCGAAGGGACACTCACAAGATTTTGGTCCCAACTTTGTGTTCTTTTTTCTTGACTTCAAGCGGGCAGTACTTGGGCCTTCATGGCGATTCACCCAAGGCACCTTTGCAGAAGGGTTGAAGAAGTCGAGATCAGAGATCCTGGCACTTTCGGGCCACCGATTGGAGGGAACTATAAGACCAGATGACCTGATACGAACAGATGACCTCACCACCCCGACTGGCCCCCACTGGCAGCCCCTACTGGCGGCCCCTACGGTTCAGCCTGAGAACTAGGTGCCAGCTGCTGCACTGCGGGGGGCTGAGAAGACGTTCTTTTTTTTGGGTCCGGGGGGCATCAGAGGGTTTCGGATGAAGACACCACCGAAGGAGTCAGTCGGTCCATGGTTTTTTCATGACATTGAACCATGAAGCAACGAAGAGCGACCTGGGAGGCAAGGAAGCATGGATATGTTTTTCTTTGGAGCTGGAGCTGGTGTTTTCACAGCAGCAGATGGATCGTCCTTCCCATATCTTCCCATTCTGACGATAATCATGCACCCAAGCTGCTGGTCCCTGGGTAAAGATGCACCCGTTCTTCTATGTTTAAACGTGAACTTGTTCATTCTGGGCCGAATGTGGAGTGTTCTTTTTAGAACAATTAAGATACTGTATGTTTTCAACCATTTTTCAGTGAAAGATTACCACGATTCAGACCACATAAACGAGGCACATCAGAGTTGCATGAAATTCCGCGAACCGCAACCAACCAGGGTGGTGGTTTCAGACATGATCTTCAACCTTTGGGATGGAAAAAGTCACTGTTTCAAGTGAGTTGACACCACCAACAGAGAATCTGAGAGAAACAGTGACTATTATAATCCCTCTCTGAGGAATCTGTTTCAAGCGAAACCTTGAATCCTCAGAGAGAAACTCCGAATCTCGCACTCCACTTCCAGGAGTCCGAGCGAACAGCAAGATGTTCGTTTGGGCAGGGGCAGCTCAGACAGGACCGGAGACGGCCTACGGTTCCTGCGGGTTGGAGGAGACGGTATATCGGTGGCCACCCGCATCGAAGTTCGAGTCCACCGCTGAAGCAGGGCCAACACCCTTTGGGTGTGGCCCTCACCCAGAAGCTGGACTGGGTGGACCCTGAAGATGCGATATAAAAAATATCGACCATCATGTGGCTTTTGAGACTGTTTCAATGTTTGTGGAATGAACACGTTGCTGGACACTTCAGATGACGGGGCTGACTTCGAACCGACGGTTGGCTTCGTTGGCCGGTCGCGGGTTCCGAAGATTGGTCGACCTGAGGTCGAAGACCACCAGGATCACCGAGTGGTGGCTGGTCAGACAAAACCCAGGACAAGTGGGCAGATGAGCCCTGATTTTTGAGAAACAATTGGGTCATTTGCAGTACACAAGAGGAGGTAGAGAGTTCGGTGGACGTTCCCAGGGATTGAAAGGGGTGTGACCAACCAGTAGTTTGGCCCACCACGAACCTGGCGAAAGCCCAATAGGTTTTGGTGGTTGATGGGAGCCCAATAGGCCTGATGTGATTGACGGAGGAGAAGACTTCTATGTTTGAAGCATTTTCACATCATACTTTCATTTGCTTTTCACTGTCCATTAAGATCCTTTCATTTTCCTTAAGTCTAGTGTGGCTCCCATGAGACTTGGCATTCAAAGACCCAACTGTTGGGAGTTGAAACCCACAACGTCCCACAGCGTCCCACGCCGCGGGTGAAACCCGCGCCCAGTTCAGCTCTTGCAGCGGGCGATGAAGTACTTGGAGCGCGATGGCAGCCGGGCGGCAGGGTGGCTGTGGTGGCCGTGGGGTTTCTCCTCGTCCGGCCCTCCATGAAAACGCCGAACGAAGGCAATACCATGCGGTGAAGTGTCTCACAGCTAGTGTGGAGGTCAGCAATTGACAGAAGGGAAGCAAACCATGAAAAAGACAACACATCATTGAGACTTCGACCACCATGGCTGCCATCTCCCTGAGAATATACTGTTCGACCATCCGAGTGACCGAGTGGTCTTGTGCAAACCTGCGATCTCCGTGGAGCCCAACTTCGATCTCCGTGGAGCCCAACTTCGATCTCCGTGGAGCCCAACTTCGATCTCCAAAACGTCCGTTTTCAAGGCACTTGGGTTTGGACTATCTCAGCTAATAGGGCTATAGGGGTCAATGTGCCAGAGTGGGGAGGAGGCATTTGTGGTGTTTCTTTTTTTTTGACACGGAGATTGGGGCGCTCAGGAAAGATCTCAATGTCTGGTGGAAAAGGATTTGATGTTCACTTGGCCCTTCGCTGGACTGACCAAGCATCTCATCTCACTACCAGGAGCCTCATTGATGTCCCATTTTGGCTTGATCTACTATATAGTTATAATCATTGTCCCTACCCATTTCCAAGAATATGGCAAGTACGACTGGAGAAAAGAACCTCCTGCAGAGAATTGGGGCATAATCTACTATGCAAGGGCAGCAGTTCCAGAGCAACAGGGGGGACTCGTTCTCCTAAGTGGGCACTTGTCAAGCCCCCACGACCCAGAATGATCAGATGATCTCATCGCCCACAGGGTGATCTTCACCGTGCCTCCGCCGCGTTGATCTTCACCGGAGCCCATGGGACCATGGGTCCCACCGTGGATTTCGTCCGTGGAACCGGACGTGGGACCAGCTGAGGTCCTCTGGTTCCGGTCGTCGGTGCCAAAGGGGCCTGCTCCATCGTCAAGGCCTGCGGTGTCGTCGCACTGTGCGCGGCTGGTCGGACGCGGTGACAGATGGGAGTTGGGGTGGCAGAAGAGGTTGACAGATGCTGACTTATGAGGAGATCCATTGAGAGATCTACACAGATCTGTCAGATCCAACAGATTGGAAGATGCTGATGGACGCTGATGCTGAATGAGGTCTACTGAATTTGGGATGGTTTTTTTGACTCGGAACCGATTCTGTGGGTCACTGAGGTCCGGGATGGCGAACAAACAGATCTAAGACTGATCAGGAGATCCACGGTCCCCTCCCTAGGGGCGAAGAGCTTTGGACATCCGAGTGGGCGACACTACAAGACTTGATGGGAAAAAGGCGACTCTTGCTGGGAACCGTAGTGGAAAGGATGACTCTTTTCCTGGGCAGTGATTAACCCGTCCAACGACCCAACGAGAAGTCCCCACCGATCCGAATGCCAGGCCTCCCGTCAGTTGCACACCCCAGAGGTGCCCTGCGGCTCGCGCGCGCGTGCGCGCGCCAACTCGCGCCCTGTGGCGGTTCGAGGGGTACTGTATCTCTATTCTTCCATGCTGTTTGAGTTGAGAGGTGGAGCATGGATCGAACATGAGCTGCTTGACCGTGAGATGATGAGCTTGGAACCATCGTTTGTGCATGGATCCACAGCTCCCACCGGCGAGGCACGCAGCTTCTCCTTGAAATGGCTGGGCGTGATGTGCGCTCAGGTGGAGAGAGTTCTCGGGCCTTCCGGTCGGGTGAAGTCCTGAAAGGTAAGGGTCAAGATAGACCTGAGGTTGGCGGGCCTTGAGCCAGCCATTGGCTAGCGGCTAGCTCAAGGTTTCAGGGCCACCTGTATAGAATAGCTCTAATCCTGGCGGGAGCCATGGTAACTGGCCAGGGGGCACCTTTTGGAACTTGGTGGTTCATTTACATGGATCACTTCTTTGAGCAGGTGGAAATCAATGGAGCCAATCACTGCCTTGAAGCCTTGGCGCCCACGTTCTCAGGTGCTTTCGTAATCCTATGGCCACTTGAGATTGTAGTCAGTGAGACCGTGAGAACCCCTGATCAACTGGTGAGACGTGAGACCGTGAGTGCACGTGCAGGGTGCTTCGTAGATTGGGCTGATGTCTCCGAAAACACGCATGCTTGGCATGCCGGGTGCTGATGATTCTCAACGTGCTGGCTCATTGGTATGCAGTGAGGAGGAACAGCCTCTACTCTATTGGTTTCGGAGTAGACGGCACAAACCGATGTCGTTTAGATGGGACTCCACATAAACCACCGACCTTGATCGACCTTGGGGATTGTGCCATCTACTCTCAACGATCTCTCTAAGGCATGTGGGCGATTTTCGTCACTTCTCGCTGCGCTGCGCATGTGGGCCGCACTGGCCCGGGAGCGTGCTTTCACGGTCCTCACATTGCAGCAGCCAATGCCGTGGTGACGCGGCGTCACCGATGCCGTCGCAAGAACGGACGATGCGGACGGTCAGGTGCCACGAGAGGCGGACGAAGTAGCGTTTCGTGCCTTGGGAAAAAGGCTCGTGTTCGGAGCTCGTGAAAGCTGGCTTTAGGCAAACCACACGGGTGGCTGACTATGCGATGGCAAGGCCGGGAGATCGGGAGGCTTTGTCAATGAGGTTTAGAGGCAGCTTGTGCATTCACCCCACCGAGCTCCAGCTTGTAAACCGCTTCTGGGATGCTTTGGATTCTTGGAAGAACGTCTTCCAAGACCGACCTGGTCCATCAGCCTGCTGAATCTCCGGTGCAGAGTTCCTTCAAAAGGACCATGCCTTGCAGCTGAACTTCATGGCTGGCTCGCAGTTGCCCCAAAGGGCCATGCATGTGCAAAGCGAAGAGCGCAAAGCCGTTGGACCAAAATGGAACCCTTTCTTTTGGCTAACCGCAGGTCCGGATTTTGCCGTGGAGGTCTCGCTAGCATGGGTAACTGCGAGTTCGTTATTTTGCAGCACATGATGTCTGGGACCTATACTAGCAAAAAAGAACGTGATTTCACATGCCCCAGAATCCTGGCAATTCTTTTCCCTGAGATAGCTCAGCTCATCCGATATTTGTGAGTGACATCATTCCTGATATGCAACCACTGATTGCTTGGGCCAAGCCTTTTTTGCAACGCCGTTTCACAGCAACTCCACTCTGCACACAGTTGCACTGACCCTCATCAGTGGCCCCCCCAAAACGGGTGAAACCAAACATAAGACAAACAGCATGATGTTGCAAAAACCATCATGTTGCACCCAAGCATAAGACAACCACCACGTCGTGGTTTGTTTTTTGGGTGCAACCAACCGCGTGCAAAAAATCCATACCCAACATGCGAAGGTGTTTTGAGCCTTGTTTTCCCGGGTCGTTCGGGTCGTTCGGGTCACGACGCCGCAGGCGCCGTCGTTGGACGCTTCGTTGCTGGCCGAGCTGGCGCAGGTCCTGCTGGTGGAGTGGGTGGAAAGCAGTGGCCTTTGTTGAAGCACTTCAGCGTTTTCTACTCGAAAAGTGAATTCCCTAAGCAAAAGGGGATTGGAAAAGCACTTCAACCAATATGCTGTAGTTGGATCAGAAGAGATGTAATTTCAAGGCTTTTCTTGGGCTCTTTCCATTGTTTTGGGCACGTTTCTTGGTTTTCCTCTTCTCGAAGATCTATCGAAGCCGGACCAGGAGCTTCGCTCCGGACCCCAACCGACACACGACCGGACCGAGTCAGCTTCGCGCTCCGCCGAGTTCGGCGGCCCGAGTCTTTTTGACAGCGGGGAGACTTGGCGGGGAGACAGGAGCTCTTGCGGTTCAAGATCTTGGATGAGGAGATTTGGGAGGCGGGTGCGAACGCGAAGGAGTGAGTGGTGTGGGACAGAATGCGGACACCGACCGGCAGCCTTTGCAAGCTTTTGTTTTTCTTCCAACCAGTTTCGGTAAAGGGTCGAGCGATGATTCAAAGGCAGACTTTATGCTTGTTGGTGAGTTTTCTATTTTGAGACATGCCAAACTCTTTGGAGAGGGCAACACAGAGGAACAGGGAATTATATACGTACTCTATATCCACCCTGAACGTCCTTTATTCTATTGACGTGACGAGCATATCAATTTGCATGCCAATGTCAGAAAAAAGGATCTTCAAGTTACTGTTTAGTCCACTTTAGGAGTCCACTTGGATCACCCAAACACCCTGAGCCGCACTCGTGAACCCTGAGCCACCCGTCAGACACATCATCACTTGGCCGTCCGACGTTGGAGTTCAAGACATGGAGAGCAAACATGGGATCACCTGGGATCAACACCTGGACCAAAAAGCGTTTCAGACCTGGACATGGAGAATTTGGACGCCAGCCCAGATGTGGCTGGCCCAGAGGTTTGAAGAAAGAAGACGCCGAAAAAACATGAAAAAAAAGGAAAACAAAAACAACACCGGAAAACCGCAGACCTCTGGACTCTTCGCCCGACCTCTTCGCCCGGACGAAAACGCCCGCCTCTTCCCACCGCGAGGCCTTGGCGCGGACCGTGTGCGAGCGGTGCGACGGGCTGGGTGCGGCGGAGGTGGCCGGGACACTCCCAGAGCGATCGACGGGTGGTGGGACAGGTACGGCTGGATCAACAGAGAGAGGTCGTGTTTGCAGGAATTGGATGGTTTTTGCACGGATTGATACGGATTCAGTGGAGAGAAGTGGGTGAAGAACACTTCTGTTTGGCTGGAGTGTCCTTGACGGTCTAAAACTGGGTTCACTTGGTGTATTGCGTATATAAGTATAGTATAGTTATCTATATTCTGTTGGAGCCTGGATTACCGTATCCGAAACTGGCTTGCAGCATGGGACAAGAACGCTTGGTCAATTGAGTAGTGAACTGGCTGAACTGTGTGTGTACCTCGTTCAGGCCCTTTTCAAGCATGTTTTTCCTTGTGGCCCTTTCTGCATGTGTGCAAGCAAGAAGACATGCGTCACAAAGACGCTTTGCAGTCCCGAGTTTCGGCTGGTGAGCAATTGGTCCGAGGGGCCACGGTCGGCACCGTGTGGCACAGGGAGTTTGGTCACTGAAGAAACTGTGTTTGGTTGGTGTTTTTTGTGGTTTCTGGTTCTCCTTTTCCTTGCCAGTTTCATTTCCCATGTCCCTTCCCTTTCGGATTCCTTGAAGCATTCCTTTTTTTAAAAGAGTTTTCCTCAAGTTCTTTTCTTTCCTTTCGTAAAGACTTCGTCTTCACATGGACGTAAGATCAGAGCTTCTTTCCACGAGTTTCACTATTCAAGACAGCCACATCCCTCACTCTATCACAACACCACCTTGTCTATGCCTCAAGCTTCTGGAGCTTGTACGAAGCTCACCGGGTTCATGAATGGCGGCGAAAGGCACCAAGAACACAGCGGAGGATGGCTTGAAGCATTTACTGTAGAAGCAGGATGGCGGATGGTGAAGTCTCCATGCAACCACCCTTGGAGCTCCAAAAGCCCCCAAAGCCCATGGTGGATGGTCCGGCGAACTCCCATGTGTACGACCCGGCGGCGTTGCGGACGACCGGAGTTGCTTCGCCCAGGTCCCGCTGTTGGACGCTTTCAAGCGCTCCTACACCTCGTCGAAGGTGGACCGTGCCATCGTAGCCCTCTGCCGCTCGGAGAGCGGGACGCCGTGGGGTGTGGACCCCCCAGTCATCCCCCTCACTCTGGGAATGAGAGCAGTATGGACGGTGAAGACTCCACATGAACACAGAAGATCAAGCGCTTTCTTGCCATGGCCACCCCAAGCAACCTAGCCCTGACCTGCTGTCCTTTGGCTTTGCCCGCTTGATCCGCGGTTGCTTCCAAAGGTCAGAGAGCCACGGACTGTTGCGAGGACACGGCGCACGGCTGGCTGTGTGCAAGTTGGTCTATCGGTGGTTTAAGGGTGATCAGTGATGAGAATTATTTGGACACTTGTGGAGAACCCCCTCTGTCATTTGTAGCGGGAACATGATTTTTCCACCACTTTGCGGCACCTTTGTGTGGCCCCTCAAATCACGTTGAGGAGATTCGAGTGCCAGAGAACTGGAAGGTATACTTCAGTACCTTCGCCACTTTTGTGGTCCCAGATGTCATGTGGCTAGATCCCCCATTCAAGGTGCACGAAAGCTCCTAAATATACAGTTGGTTCATTTTCTGGGAGTTCATCGGATGATCACCTCACTGGGCGTAGGATAGACTCATGAAGAGGGGGGCTGGGAAGCAATTCTTACCACGCATTCCCACTTTCCGTGGCAACCCGGCAATTCCATCAAACAGTTAAACAAATAAGGTTCCCAGGTTGGCGGTAGGAGTCCAGGTGCAGCAAGAACCTGGCAATTCGAGGATAGGCCTGCTATTGAATTATTGAGCAGATTGGTATCTCTGGGTGTGGCAGGAATTCAAACCATCCAACTGAGATACCCCCAGCAAAAAACGAAATAAAGGTGGCCCAGTTCATTCATTTCATTCATTCACCTTCACTTTCCTCCCATCGGTTACTTACAAATCAAAGGTTCACTGCTGGAGCGTCACCCCAAACGCCGCACGAAAACACGAACCACCTCGCCTCACCGACCGGTCGCACCCCGGTCGCCCAGCTGACCTGGTGCAGCGAGGAGTTTTCGCAGCGGCAGTGTGTGGTCGCCGTGGCCTCGCTGTCAGCTGTCCGCAGTGGGGTGAGAGTACTGGGTTCGGGACCGCCTGTTTAGGCAACGACCGGAAGGAGAATGGACCAGTCTATCCATTCGGACCGGGGATCTCCCCTTTTAAAATAAATATCCGAATGGAAGTACGAAAAAGGTGGTTCAACAACTATAGGCACCCTCCCCCCAAAGAAATATATGGAACTCTTGTGAAATGTGCAAAGGTAGCTCAGGAAGTCCACCAAAAGTTTTGTTCTTTTTTTTTCCGCCAGGCAAAGAACAAACCAAGGTAAGTTGGGAAACACTTGAGACGTGCCGCAGAAACGTTCTTTTCTGCATCGCCCCACCGGGGGCAGTTCAGGACAGAGTTGGACTTGGTTTCATGACTGAAGGACAACTGATCCTATCCACCAACCAACCAGCCTGTGCGACATCGCTTGCATGACCTCGGCACTTGGATGACCTCAATCAATGCAGAAGAAAGAACGAGACCTTTCTATACCAACAGCCCCCCTGTTCTACTACCCGAAGTCCCTGAAGCCTGAAGTCTGCCTTTGGTAACTATGTTGTGAAGCAATTTTTGGGCCGAGAGGGGACATGCATTTGTATGTGATTTTCATGTGGCATGGTGCAGTCGAAAGTGAATTAGGGCCCCACACATCACAATTTGAACAAAAACTCGTTATGTCATTGGGAGATTCAAGTTGAAAAGGCCAGATTCCCACCAGGGTGCCTCCCCATATTGACACAATATTGGCATGCCTCCAAGGCAATGGTTTCTTTTCCTTTTCACCCATTTGACTGGCTTGAGTCTAGCAACCTCAGCAGAGTCTCCATCTATGACTTTCTTTTGGGGCTGCCCTTGTGTTTGAAGTCGTGACATCCAAGGAGTGTTTGAGCAGGCCCCGCAGGTTCCACACTTTTCTGGTTTTTCAACGAGTCGCTGGACTTCCCCTCCGACCTTCCCGTTGCTGCCTTCTTTTCGTGCCGCGCACGAAGCCCAGGTGCCGCCTCTCCCGGGCCGTGCCAGCCACACTTCTGGACCAGGCCAGCAAGGGCCCGGCCGGTTTGTCATTTCCAAACGGGGCGCCCGACTCCGGGCTGTTGAAATAGAGGGTTGTTGTTTTGTTTTCCAGAGATTTGATGGTCTTTGAAGTTGAAAGCAGACGGCAAGTTCACCCCATGTCTTTTGTTCCATTTGGCAAAGCCCCGCGCCGCCTACCTCGTGTCGAAGAACATATGTTCGGACTCAGCAGCACCACGGTTCAGATGCCCAAAGACGGTTTAGGTGTTTAGGTTCAGAGGAAAAAACATCATAGGTGCAAGCAGGCTTGTGTGGGCCTACCACAATGTTCGTAATCCTTCTGCTTGCTTCAGCTGCACTTCTTCCATGAAACAGGTGGGATGAAAAGTCACGCGGTTGCTTCCTCGCTTCGATGTGCCGTGGCACCCTCTGGGCGGCCGCAGGTGATTCATCGCTTGCTGGAGACCTGGCTGGTGCGCCGGCGGGTCGACGGAATCTCGCCGGCGACGGTCGAAGCGCGCGGAAACCGAGGCGTCGAAGAAAGCTGAGGTAGGGAACGGTGCCGGAGGCGCTCTCAAAACTGTAGCTGGAACTGAACATGGGACAGACACATGCTGTATTTGTGCAGCAGAAAGTCGTGTTGGTAAAAGCAACCGCTGTTGGGAACGCCACACCAACGCCGTGACCAGAGGGTGACCAAGGGCTACAGGAGATCGGATTCCTCAGATACCTCAATCTATGTGTAGCAAATTCTGGAAGAGAGAGTCGGAAATAGGAATCAACATACCAGGACCATCCTGCCGGGGTGTCCAATGGGTGTCGCCCACGTAGTATAGGGTGGTCGTAGTGTAGGGTGGTCCCGAGGGGGGTTTCGACCGCGAATGGATGAAACCACATCGTGATGAGCCTTGGGCATACGTTGTACGGTAAACTTGGATGCCAATCATTCCGTCAACCAGGAACAAGGTTCGCTACGAGTAAGGGGCTCCTGGCATCGCTACGAGTAAGGAGCAAGAACGCTACGAACGTAACAAGGGCATTACTAGCTCATCTCTTATAAATACACATGTGCTGGAAAAGAACTGTTTAAGAGATCCGCACTCTCATGCAGCACGCGGCTTTGCTTGCGCCGAGCCTGTACATTCGCCCACCCAAGACAAAGAGTTCGTAGATCATCCACCAAAGCATCAATCAGTTTTCTGAGGCTTAAGCGCGGGTGGCATTCTGAAGAGCTACAGCCTACAGCTCCTTACTTGGAGTGTGATACAAGACCTTGCAAAAATCTTCGACCATTTTTGGATTATCTATCACAGAATCTCACGCAGGCATCGACATCTTTATTTGCTAAAGCCGAATGGGCGCTGAGCATATTATCAGACGGACGTCCTATCACGATATTTGGATAGATCTGATTAAAGGTTAAAGGTTAAAGGTTAAAGGGAACGACACCGAAAATGCCACTGCTTTGTTGCTTTGTGCTTTTCGGTCGCACCCCTGCAGTGTTGTGTGCCATTTTGGTTCCCTGCATACAAAGACCAACCAACCCGCTCGAAGAGTAAGGGGTAGAGTTAAGCTGGCTCCGTTCTGAGCGAATGTGGGGACCATGCTCTACCAGGTGTTGTGGCTAGGGCTAGGGAATATGAAACTTAAACAAACACCTATATAGGTAGGGAATATGAGTATATGATAAAACCGTCAACCATGTCCGTTTGGGGAGGAGATGGAAGGAGTATGCTGGTAGCTCGAGGCTGGTCCATCTCCAGATCTCTCGGGCTCAATCTGACTTCACCCGGAGCTGGTGCCTGTTTGGACCTAAATCGATATGTTGGGCATGGCGTTTATCAGTTTGATGCTCACCTTTCCAACTGGGAGGTGCTGTAGGTTCGGCAAGAGGCTATAGGTTTAAGTTCCACTTCGTAGACAAGCCACACCAACATGTTGCAGCGTAAAGACATCTCAGCACCAGTACAGTACAGACTTTCTATCAGGCATCATCATTGTCTATATTGTATTTTGAGTCAGGGGGCTAGTCTGAGACGAGTCAGATCTCTTTTTTCGAACCACACTCCAGGTTTTTCAGAAATCCACCAGAACATCTAGATAGCATTTCATGTACCTCGAAGATCCAAGAGCTTTTTCATGCTTTTTTTTCTCAGTTCTGAGAAAGACATCGCAGCTGTACACCATGAGTTGTAGCACGCCCATCGGTGCTCCGCGGGGCAGCTCCGGAAGACGACCGGCATGGGCCAGGCACGAGTGGACGCCTTCTCACGCCAGACCAACGTGAACCAGGCGGCCATGGCGGCGATCGGGTGGACTCACCGGTTTCTTTCGCGTGGATGGGCGATGTGTGGTGGTTCACTATGGAGAGAAGTCCATCTCAGATGACCATGGATGACCCCGGTCGCGGTGTGTGCGCTGCATTCGTCATTCGTTGGGACGGCGTCATTCGTTGGGACGTCCTGTCCGATGGGGGGAAGACTTTGGTTCGGCCTCGTTGTGGGAACCGGACCGGGATCTTACCCCAGATTTGAAGAGTGACACCTGACCTTACCGCGCACAGTCCGAGTCCGGTCTGGCGAACCGGGACCCACGGATCCGAGTTCTGGTGTGGTCGAGAGACCGTGGAACGACCCAGTGGGAACGACCGAGGGGCCACGCCGCCATGCCTCTTTGAGGGCGTACCTCGTGGTTCTACCCTCTGGACCTCTGAACGGCACTTTCACCTACACTATACTGCAAATGCTGTTCGTTTGGAGGAAACTCTTGATTTGGGATTGCTCCATCTGAAGGGCTCGATTTGAAGGGAATGGACGTCTTTTTTCCATGCTGGTGCTTGGACTTGAAGCTCAGCAATGGCGGTGCCTCGGCTGCGCCTGATTTTGAGGCCCAAATCAGCTGGAGTGCTTGTCCCGACCCAAAAATCCTGCACCCAGATCGGGCCACGACCAAACTGGACCTCACCGGGTGTCCTTTTTGGGAGCACCAACGGACGCCGGAAAACTTCTGGGAGCACCGGAGAAAGCGAGAGCACATCTATCATCTCACTATCTATCATCTCACCTCATCTATCCTCATCTATATTTTCCAGATGTCATATCATCTCACTATCTCACCTCCAGGTGTTGGGTGGGCCATTGAGGCACGGAGACGCCCCCCCCGCCGGCCCCACGGGTCGTGAGTGAGCGCGGCAGGTCATCTCCCTGGCGATCTCCCTCACAGCCTTGCCCACCAACTCCCCGGTGAGGCCGGAGGATTGAACCAGGTTCTCCTGGAGGGTGGCAGTGGGTGATGTTCTGGGATGTTCAGATGTTCTGGGCATTTGGGTGATTTCTGGCAGGTCAGAGAGTTGTGGCTCAGTCCTTAGCAGACTCGGTCTGCTCCAAGACGAAAATCATCGAACATCGATCTAAAACACCGAAAAACAAGCCCTTTTCTCAAACCGAATCGAATGGGCGCCGAAGCAGAGAGGCCGTTTGCAAGCGATGGGCCGTTGTAAAAACGCCCGTCACAACGCCCGATGGCCATGGCGCCCGAACCACCCCTTTGGGCGGATCGATCCACACCCATGCCGCAGGGCTCGGCAGCTCGCGGGCGCACGGGGCGCGCTGCCGACGGGAAGCGTGGAGATCTTCCAACATCGCCTGGCAGGCAACGTTGGGAAGATGGGGTGGATGATTGGGGGAGTCGCAGGACTTGAACATGAAAAAGGATGTCAGGCCATAAGGGTAAAGCAAGTTATTTGATACTTACAACTTACAACAAACCGTTCTTTTACTGAAGGCAGATCCAAGTTGGATTTCAAAAGGATGCTTCTGTTGATGGACTTCAGTCCTTCACCGAGCCAGGGGCAGATGGAACCCAAGAGCTGGTTGAGTTTGATCCAAATCTCAAATTGGTCCGTCAGTTGGCAATATTTGGTGAATCAGTGATATCTCTATCTCGTGATATCTCATGTGATATTTTATCGAATCACCCAGTGCATTAGATAGACCGGTATATCTGGTGGTTTGGATTTCGGACTCCACGGCTGAATGGAAGCCTGTGCAGACTCCCAGCTCCCTTTCAACCCAAAGTCGCCAAAGTGCCAATGAACACGGTGTTCCAACGTGATCCAACAAGAGAGGAACATGCGTCTAGTTGAAGTTTTGCTGCGCCTGTGCTGTCAACATGTTTATGATGTATGTTCAGCATGAAGGAGAGCAAAGGTCACCTGGAGGCTCAGGCACTGTGGCTTTCATCTCCTTGCGGAGCAGGGTTGTTTGATGTGAAGAGTCTCGGGAAGCAACATGTTCAACAGAATGTTCGCATCAACACATTCTTCTGCTCAATCCATTTCATGCCCGTTGGAGGCCCCAACCAAACACCACGGCCCGCTCGCGTCGCTTCGAGCGCCTCGCTTCGGCCGCCGTCGTCGTCCCTCAGGATGGGCGCACGACTGTGGCGCGCCCGGCGTGGGCGTCCTGTCGCCGGAGGTTGGAGACCGGTGGTGTCGCCGGTGCCGGGAGGTGGGCGGCAGAGGTCGGATGGGACGGATGGGAGGACCGGGAGCAGAGAGGATTGGAACCAAAAGCCTGAGGAATGTAGAACTCTCATGAGCTCTCCAATTATGAATACAGTAAGACTTGCATATGGATTTAGTATTTCTGAACGTGTCCGGTTTATGTAGGGTTGGGATATTCAACTTCGACGAAGCATACCCCTTCAGCATCCCCTCTGAAAATCGTACGTCAAGAGCTTGACCGGTGCGGAACTTGCGCGATCGGATCGATTGGGGTTCTTGTTTCATCCGATCGAGTGAAGGTTTGGTTGCACTCCACCAATTCAGATCAATACAGAGGGAAGTACAGGAGCATGAGGGCAGCCCGCAAAAGACCAACAAAAAGACTCTATAAATCCCTACAAACCTTGTAAGACACCCCTAGAGAGCTTTTGGATTGGGTCAGTTTGCTGATGTTTCTTTCTGCTGTTTGAAACAACACCGACCAGACCGATGTCTTTGTAACAGTCACAGTCCAATGTCATAATATGTGGATAATGGTCGATTCTTTGTCCTTTCGCAGCTCTCGAAAGAGGGAGCCAGTTGCAGGAGCTGATCCTGGTGCTGTGGGCTCTGAAGGATCTCACACCCACCGGGCTGGAAGCTTATGGACCGTCCGACAGAAAACGGCCGCCATACATCGATGCGCTTTTTCAGTGCTCCCAAAAGGTCCAGAACCAGCCAGAAAGATGTTGGCTGAACCTCCGATTCAAGATGGAAGTGGAGTGTTCACTCTCCGTGTTTTGGCTTGGCTGGAAGGGTCTTTTCGCTCGGGAGCATGCATGAAATCATGCATGTTTTTCACTTCGATGTGCGTCTTCAGAGTGTACAGACCGTTGTTCGCACCCACTCAGTCCCGCGTGCTGGATCCCAAGCAGAAAAAACACCGTTCAACAGGAATGCCAAGAGAACAGGTGCGACGTGTTGAGGAATCCCAAAGCATTTGGCAGGGCGCATCACCCATACCTCCTGCCCGTAATCAAGGTGCTCATCCGGTGGGAGGCGTGTGGACCAGCGGGGCGTGGAAGAACCAGCTCCGCTCGGCAGCTGGGCAGCGTCTTTTGACCAAGCTGGGTGCGGGTCACCCGAATTGACCGTAGGTTGGACTCGGCCTGTTCTGGTCAACCAGGGTGCACCAGTTCTCTGACGCCATTGGGCGAATCCGGAGACAGATGGATCATGAGACAGATGGACTTCCGGATCATCGCACCCTATGTCCGAGCGGCACGCAATCGTGCTGGTGCTCTTGGCCGGCAGTGACACTTCGCAGCTGGCGGAGCAAATCAACCCCGCGACGCACAGTCATGTCTGGAAGCAGTCATGTTGGAAAATATCAAGGAGTGTTGATCAGAAACCCTGGACGCAGAGTCAAGTCAGGAAACTTTGGCTTCAGCACAGTGTCCGGAAACTTTGACGGAATATGTATCAGAAACCGTGTGTGAAACTATCATTGACCCGTCTGCAACGAGCCCAACTGATAGCAATGCCACGGGGGCGCAGAAAGTGACGTAAGGATTTGAAATGAAGGGTTTCACACCAAGATATGCGGGAAACTTGGGACCAGTAGAACGTAGACCTTCAAATGATTCGGAGTGTGCTTTTGCGTTGAGGATGACCAGCAGTCTTTTGTAATTCGATGCATTGGTCGGTTCTTGAGGCAAAGGTTTCACAAAAGTCTTCGAAGATGGTGAAACAAACGTATTTCTTGGCGCAAGGCCATTTACGAACAGGGCTCCCTTAGTTTCCCTTGGATGGAGGGCTTTGAATTTCATGCAATTGGAGGTTGAGATGCCCCAAATCCACTAGTGACCCCCGGTACACGATAGAAGCCACCACTTGGGATTTGAACCAAAGTTCTGGACGGGTCTATAGTCTATAATAGATGTGGTTACTCCTCATTCAGACAAAGGGAGATTTGTACAGGAAGCTGTAGGGTTTGGATGGGCTTGGTTTGGCTTTTTCCTGCTTTTTCAAATGACTTCCTCCTGGACCTTGTGTTTGTTAATTCGAGCATCATCTATAATCTCCAGCTTGACTTCCTTCTCGATCTTATTGCGAGCATGGAGCGCCCCCCCCAGGTTTCCAGCTGGTTTCTGGACACGGTCCCCGATTCTTGTGGCCAATGACTCTTCTCTGGGGTTCCTCCCCAACTTCCTTCTCGACCTTGTTCCGCGCATGGAGAAGCGGACCCTACATGGTTTGCTAATGGTTTCCCTGACGCGGTCCCCTTTTTCTTATCATCCGCACGGCTGATTCCACCCGTTCTCCCTCCGCCAAGGCTCTCGGAATACCAGGAGTGCCTTGGCCCATTGGGGGGCGCACAGCACGAGCGGAAGAGACTGGCTGCTCCGTGGATGGAGCAAATACCGAGGGTTTCGGAATTCTGTGCATGACATGTGGTCCATGATTCCTCCCATCAACTCTCGTCTATAGTACTCTAGTAGCCCAGTCTTCAAGGAAGTCTTCCAGGAGTTTCTTGGAGATCTTACGGCATGACTTTCCACCGAAATTCATCTGCTCAGATCAGAAGGTTGCCGGAATGGCGGTGAAAGGTGGATTGCTGCCTGACAGGCTGACAGGTGATCATTTCGTTTACAGCTAGATGGTTGAGGTGTTCATTTGGCACGTTTGTCCCAAATTTGGAGGTTTCTCTGATTGCGTGCGTGAATGTTTGCAAGGACATTGAGAGCAACCGTGTCCTGTGTAGTCCGTGATGGACAGTTTCTTTGGACGTTCATTTCCCGACCACACCGGCATGGTTTGTGTGAGACGGGGCACCGTGCAGCGGTGTCGCCGCTCTGCCACTCAGGTTGGTCGGCACCTGCCTTTTGCGAATCCAATCGGACACCAACTTTGAGGCGGTTGGCGGGTCTGGGCCACTGCCGCACTGCTTCGAGGGTTGGGCATTGCGGAGTTTTCAGAAATCCGACGGCAACCCCCAAGACTACCGACCGCATAGTGCGACAAAAGCGAATTCCAGTGCCATATACGGTGGGACGACAGTTGTTACGAACAGATGCCAAGAGCTGCGAATTCCATTCAAAGCATTTGCTTTGGGTTTCCACCAGTCGCACTGCATTGGTCGGAACTGCTCCGGTTTTGGGGGGCCAACGAGGAGCGCTTGCAGCCGTTTTGTCCTTTCTCACAAGTCTGCGTGAGACGGGCAATCTCACAGTCCCCTCCCAAAAGTCTTTTTGGGAAAAAGCACACACTGTGAACCACCAGTGCCGTGCCGGAACTGCCCTACAGCAGGTCCTTGTTCCACCAGACCTTTTGGGTTTCCCAACGTCGTTTGATTCGCCCAGGGATGGAGCCTGGCAAGGCAAGTGCAGGCCGGTCGACTTGATCGTGACCTCACGCAGCTCGGTCGGTTGGTCACGCAGCTCGAGCTTTTGAGGTCCCAAGCTGGACTGGATTGGTTGCGAAGGTCCAAGAATAGAGAACTGCCTGGTTTTCCATCGTGTTAATCAAAAGTCTTTGCGGATGGAGAGTTACTTTCCTAGCCAGTTAGGTGTCATTTGGCGGAATGAATAGCAGGATATTTATACTTAATTATACATGGCAACTTCGGTTGCAGCATGCGCTGTCACATGAGGTATGAGCATACCTCAAGATTAGATTAAAGACAGCACTAAGAACAGCGTGCGAGCGGTGAAAAAACGATAGGTAGGTGTCCTTGTCCTTAACACCCCAACCTTCTTAAAAAGATAATGGACTCACTAGGCCAGAAGCAAGCACGCAATAGTGCCGCAATAGATTTGACATGGTCACAATACCGTCACTGCTTTGGGACGACGACTTGCCATCCATGACTGGTCAAGAGCGTGCTCTGCCCGACCTGATCCTTTTCTACTAGGCACGGACAGATCGAAGCTACCTTTTAAAATAGATGAAGCCGAGCTCACCAGTGGAAAACAGAACTAATATGAACTAATCAAATAAGAAGAAACTTGGACAAAGCTTGCCCTGACAACACGTGCTCCTGGGGGCTTCGTTGCAATCCTTAGTGTACACATTGGCTTTTGCCACACAGGTTGTCGTACCAGTCAAGCAACCAAGAAAGACACCCACAACTCGCCAAAATTGACCCATCCACAAAACCTTGCGTGTTACCTCACCAACCGCATACCGCAAGAACTCCAGCATGTTCCGAAAAACACGGTTTGCAGGCCTTGGAGGTACTGCTGGCCTCGAAGCACGCGCGAGTTGCAGGCGAACCTCCGCCTTTGACCGCGCGAACCGGGCTCCGAAGCATGGGCGATGGGAACCCTGTCGCGGATTGGTATACCGTAGCGATGGTTTCAATTGATTGCCTCCTACACAGGTTCGGCCAATCCATCGGGTCGGATCTCCAAGGGTCGGAGAATCGAGCAGAGTTTGAGCGATAAAAGATCATGTCTTTCTGGTGATTTTCAATCCCCATTAGGATTTCCTCTAGGACCTGGGATTCTCCTTGAAATCCCAATAGGGATTCTTTTCAGTTCTTGTAATCTCGTTTGTTTCCTCTCTAGGTGGGTATGACACAAAGTCCAACACCTTTGGCATGGAGAGGCTGATTCACAGACAGCAGGGTTCCTAGGGTTCCTGGGTCTCGGGCCGCATATCGAATATCGGCATGTTGCTTCAAGAACCTGCTTAGATCATGCTTTTGTCCAACGCAAACCTGAGGTGATGCAGTTCTTCCCATCTCCCTTGCCTTCTGACCAGACTACCAGACAGGTCAACCTACCAGGTGCAACTGAGCTGATCCGATCGACCGACCGTCCGGCAACCCCAGTGGCCGTGTCCTCGAGCTGAGTCGCTTCGTGGACAGCCAGGCAGCTCAGCAGACGAGGTGCCGAGCGAGGTGCCGACTGCCGTGGTTCCTTTTGGGAAGCAAAGCCCCAAGAAGACGTCACGCAAGCTGGTACTCCGTGTGAGTGTTTCTTCTTAGGGACAGGCTTTGCATGTTTTTAAGCGTGGACAATGAGGTTGCCTGGTGGGAGGACACTGGTACCTCGGTACCTTTGTTGGAAATAGACGGGAAACAAGGTCGTTGAAACGAACGGTGAGTGGGACCTTCTAGGTCGTCGAACCTGTTCCAAAAAAAGAAACATACCTCTGCAACAGACCCCGCAGGTGCGAAGTAGTTTCGAGCAGAGGTGGAACTTGTGACATTGACATTGACACTTCCATAGGGTCCGTTGGTTTTTCTGCATCCCGAAAGACAACTTGCATTAGACGAAAGCAGGAAGCCTAAGCCGGGCATCCAGCTTCCTTAGCCATGCGAAGATCACTGGTGCAATCTTGTGCAATCTACATGTGCAAGTACACTGTGCAAGTATTCATCATACCGGCCTTACACATACTGGCCTTCCGCCCCACTCCTAGTCATGACACCCACTTCGGGAAGGCCCTGGCGAAGGAGATCGAAGCGCGCCTGGTCGCCGGGGAGCGCAGCTGGTTTGCCGTGGCCGTGCCCGGTGGAGCATGAGGCTGAAATCGGCTCGAGCGGAGGGGCACCGAAACCAAGGCTTTGAGGATCTTTGAGGAGTGATCTAAAGGAGAAGCAATTGTTACGATGACCTGCGTGATGCATACCTAAATGATCCTAAATGGGGTTTCAGTGCCAGTTCCGAGTTCAGACTCCAGTCTCCGCAACCAATACAGATTTTGTATGATTTCGTCTTGGCGCTTTCTGTATTGTCATCTGCCGATCCACAGAAAACTCGTCACACATGGGCGCCACACATGGGCGCGACGTGCCGCTGCCTGATGATGCTGCCTGCGAAGCCATGCTGCGGACATTCATTGCACTGGATTTGGAGCGGGCGGAGCGGCTGCTGCGGAGGGCGGACGAGCAGCTTGGAGGGTGTTGAGGTCCGGTGATGCGGAAGGAGGGGGCGTTCACCAGCTGTTCACTTTCGGTTTGGGGGAGACCCTTTTGCGGCAAGTGAGGAAATCGGACATCAGACGCCTCGGTTTTGGCGAGACAAGAAGACTGTTGGTGGAGAGTCTGGTTCCAGACGACATACATTTACTATTTCTACAGTAGATAGTTCATATACAACATCTATGGATATATAACTTTTAGTATCATAATATCATATAAGTCATATAAGATATTTTTGACATAAGAAATGTACTTGAGACATGACAAATACGGGATGCACACGATCCACAAGAAGGCGCTTGTAGCGATGATGGGGCTCGGCTTATAGGCTTCAATTTCTTCACACTCCCCGTGTCACGGTTGTCTCCGATCTCAGGGTGACCTGTGTCTCTGTGAGACTGCGATCCTTGGGCTTTCTTGTTGGGTCAAGGTTTGATGCTTTTTGTGTTTACTCACCCACGCGCTGCTTTTTGAACACCGGTGTTTGTTCAAGACTCAAGACCTAGGCCTCCCGAGCAATCAAATGTTTGAACGGCAACATGAAATCAAGCAATAATAAATGATACCATACAATAATGAGATATTGATCCAAGCCCCCACTTCAACCAGCCCTGTTGTGACCGAAGAACCTACCAAAGTGTTCGGAATAATTAAGTGCATAGATCCCTTGGCCGAGAGAGACCATCTTCGGTCCCGACGAACAGAACATCCTCATTTGCAACGAGATGCACCCACATCCTCTTGTTTCCACCCCACATCCTCTTTGCCCATCCAATGATCATCATGATCATGGTTGATCATCCATGAAAGATCCTTTGCCACATCCTTGATCATCCACATCCAATGAAAGAAAGTAGAAAGACCCTTCAGTAAGAAGCCGTTTGCAGTGAGGCGTGGTCGGACAAGAGGCACCACCAAAATTAGGACTTGGCAAAACCACGCACCTTTCAAACGGTTGGCACCCGCAGACTCACGTGAAAAGGTCTTGCATGGTCTCTTCCAGGACCCCCTCGTTGTTCAGGGGCTTCTATTGAATCTTGGTATGATTCTCTAACAACACATCCGGAACGTCTGAAGTACAAATTCACCGAACACAGTATGAGAGCCAATCATATGTACCTTTATAAAGACACTGCTGATAGGATCACCGTCCCTCCACGTGTGCCACCTGAGGCTGGTGGCAGAGGCCCGGCGCTCGGCAGGGCGCTCGCAGCTTTGGACCATCAGCGGCCTCGATGGAACAAGCTTTCAGCTCCCCGTGGATGAGACGACCACGGTGGCTTCGGCACAGCCCGCGTCGGGTCCGCGAAGGCGTTGTCCGCCGGGGAAGACGTCTTCGGCTCCACGACTTCTTCTTCGCCCCCCTGATTTTTGGGCAACGCCCGGTGGAGTGGATCCCCCAAAGCCCGGCATGCTGTAACAACAAACTTTTGGGCCGGCTCATCAAGCACATGCGGAGCAAAACCCAATCAACTGAGCAAACTTTGACTTGCGATGAAATCTATGTGCTGATTGAGGGAATGTTGCTCACCTTGGAACGAGAGGTGGCGATATCCATCAGTTCCTGCGGGGGTAGACACCTACTGGATGAACATAAAACATGTTTTCTCTAAATGCAGACAGAGAAACTTTATTGTGGGCAGTCTGTGGTTTGTGGTGCAGGAGAACTTGCCATTCATTTGTCAGTAGGTCTTTCGAAAAGTCGGAGCCTCAAAGTAGCAATAAACTTTGGCGGATAGTCCAAAACAGGAACACAAACCTCAAGAAGTGGTCCGACCACCGACCACCTGTTTTGGTCGCCAGGAAGTTTGGCGGCGCATACCTAGATGTTTGAAGTGCATCCATTACAATTTCCGACCGTCGGGGAGCTTAAGCCTTTAAGTGAAACTGGTGCTTGGAGTCCCAGTACATCACATTCCTCCAGCGCATCCGGTAAACACTCGGCCACGTCTCGCAAGGTGGGCGACCTCTCCAAGACCATTACAACAAGGATTGGCGTGAAAGCTGGCCGAACACTTGTTCTCTCACATGGCGGTGAAATTCTGGGCGACTCCTCTAAGCCTTTGCCGCAAGAGGTGTGTGGCCGAGAGATCTCATACGTCGTTCGACAGGTTTGTGCACTGGAGGCAGCGATTGCGCTGCGCAGCCCATTTGCAGAAGGAACAAGAGACCACCGGCTTGCTACCGTGACAGATGCCATTTCCCGCTTGACCTTCGGCCGAGAATATAACCAGAGCTTGGAAGGTGTGACCTTGCCAAGCAGCCTGCTGACTTTGACCTTTGGTATCGACTTTAACCAGAGTTTGGAAGGTGTGACCTTGCCAAGCAGCCTGCAGACTTTGACCTTTGGCTATGCATTTAACCAGAGTTTGGAAGGTGTGACCTTGCCAAGCAG